TGGGGTGATTGGAGCACGAGGCCCTGCGCCCATCGGGCTGCAGGCCTACAACCAAACGTGCCCTGTGGCTGCAGCCAAAGCAGCGGGAGGAGGGAGGAGGGGGTTCGATCCTTCTGGTTTGTGGTATAAACTATAATGCTTAAAACCATTTATCTTCCCTTGTCAAAATTCCATCATTAAATAGTGTGGTAGTGAACTTTAAAGTCGTTGGAATTGTCCTTTAATTCAGTGCAGAGCAATTGCCCTTTACTCTTGCCTGTGCTTTTATGCTGGTATGAATTTTGTTTTCTCCCTTAAAAAACTCTTGGAGATTTGTGAAGGAAACTTATTTATTTTGTTAAATGTCAAAGTACTGATTCATGAATGAATGTTCTTCTTTATTTTTGTGCTTCAGTTTCTATTGCTGTGAAAGTAATTTTATTTTTCATTACATGAGATGAAATTTTAGGAGACCTGCATTATAAATTACTTGAGTCGCTCACAATCCTTTTTTTCCCCTTAAAGTTCCTCTTTTGAGGGTAGGATTAATTCAGTCTCCATTTGTGATCCAGTCAGACCAAATCACTGTTTTCTAACTGTGCAAAAATTATGTGGCATGGCTGAGCGTTAAATATGCTGCCTATCAGGGGTGGTCTAATGCTTCATATAGCATAAATTGAGGATATTTCCACCAATAGCAGAGCCTGTGTTGCAGCACGTGTTTAAAAAAGATCAGTCAAGCTGACTGGTGTATGTTACTTTTTTTTAGGTTGTACCTGAAATGTAAATGAGTAATTTAACCTACATATTTCACCCATCTGTTGAAATAACTGAGGAAAAATTAGAACAAAGGGCAGTACATTAATGAACTAAGTATTTGAAAAATCAAAAGCTAGTTCTCTTCATTCTAATTTACATAACTTCATACAATAACAGGAGATTTGTTTTAAACTTTTTTTCTTCATTAGAAAGGCAAAGATTCTGATTTTGTTTTTTTCCATCTTAGATGCTAATACCAAGTTAATCTTCTTTCTACTGAATAAAATAGAAGTGAAGGGCTCAAATGGATTACAGAAATTATATTTTTTACAAAAATATTTTGGGTTTTTTTTCAGTAAATCTGTTATATGTGATATTTCATAGGCATTTATTAATGCACCCTCATTTATTTTCATTTTTTAAATATCAGCACTTCTAATATAGAACTGAAAATTCATATCTGATCTACTTCTTATGAAGCTTTCATGAAAATACTTTTCTTTAGCACCACATTTTCATGTCACCAAAAACATTACAGGTATATCAGGGCAGGCTTTTTTGTTCATTTGTAGTATCCCTAAGAAAAGTGGGGGCCCATGATTAGGCATTACCATTACCTAATTTTGTCCTTTGTCGAAGTCTCTTTTTCTCATGTTGAAGTGTGTGTCTGTATTTGTTTCTTTGTTGGTTTTCTTTGGGCTTTTTTTACTGAAATATTGGGGTGCATTTCACATGTACAAAAGTAACAAGGTTGTGTTATTACCCAAAAGAACAATAAAAGGCACACTGCCACTTAATATGTATGAACAATTAACAGCATAAGGTGAATCTGTTTTCTTGTGTTTCAGAAAAGTGTGATGAACCTCTGGTCTCAGCATTGCCCCACTCCTCGTTCAGCAGTTCATCATCTATGACAAGTAGCTACGTGCCAGGGTATGCCAAGTTAAACAAGAGAGGAGGTAAGGGGTGCGCTCTACCTTAGCATTCAGATGTTTCAAGAAAAAAAACAATGAATGGTATTTTTAATATGAAAATGCTTTTTATGTAAAATACTGTTGCTTATGTTTGTTTTAACAAAATTTTAGCTGTCTGACAGACTGCTTTTGTAAACAGAATGAATTTCTATTTCATTGTATGTGACAGTAATTGCACTCCATTGCACCACAGGGAGAAATAAACTACTAATAACATGTAGCAGCACAGGCCGAATGTCTAATATCAATGGAGTCATATGATGTGGTTGTATAATTGACTTCAGTTAAAAGGGCATACCTGTGTTCATTGGGTAAATGAACATTTGCAAGGTCATGGTTGTTGGAGCAAAACTAAACAGCTTAGATGTGCTTTGTTGATGTAACTTGTTTTCCACCTTAGCAATGACTGCTGTCATTCAGTTATTTCTAGCACCACAGGAACTTTGCATTTTGCATGTATTTCTGTAATGCAATGAGGTCTTGTTCAGAAGTAACAAAGCCACCTCAGTTCTGGTGGTTGGAAGAATAGGTGTGTAAGTTTGATGGTCTACCTGATCTAATTATATCCTTAGGGCTAGGCAAATTTATTTCACGGTCTGAACACAAACCTTTACCTTCAACCGTAGGAATTTTCATAGCTTTCCTTGATATTTCTAATGTCTCTCTCTATACCATTTCGCTGCTGATCTCTAAATTAATTTCACAGAAATGATACATTTAAACATGAAACTTTATATTAACAGAAAATTAGTATTCTGAATACTATTGATTTTATTTTTTTCTAAATAGTATCAATCTAGAAGTCCTAAAATATAAAATTTCAGAGATTTGTGTGAATCAGTACCAAAATTCTATCTTCCTCCCAAAATACATATCATGGGTAAAATGAATTGACTTAATGAACCTAGAATTTAGCAATACATTCACTATAGGGACGAAGAGAGAGAAAGTGACTATAGTGCCTTGATCTTCTAAATTCTGAAGATCTATAGTAATGGCAAAACACTAGATATGTTGAAGGTTGGCTTATTTGCATTGCTGCTTTATTTTTCCTTCTCCTGCAGGAATTACGTTACTTATTCCTGGATATCATATTCTGCCTCCTAAAAAAAAAGTCAATCTTTTATCTTTGGGTGTTTGTAAACAAAAATCTGAAATACTATCAAATGGTGGAACACTCTTGAGGTTAAAAGCAGAATTTGTTGCATTGAAATTATAGCCTAGGCTGCCTATGTGTCGTGGTTTAACCCAGCTGACAACTAAGCACCACGCAGCCGCTCGCTCACTCCCCCACCTCCCTCAGTGGGGTGGGGGAGAGAATCAGGAAGAAAATAAAAGGTTAGAGCCGAGGGCTGAGATAAAGACAGTTTAATAAGAGAAAATAATAATAATAGTAATAATGAGAATGATAACAGAATATACAGAATATACAAAACGAATGATGCACAATGCGATTGCTCACCACCTGCTGACCGATGCCCAGCCCGTCCCGAGCCGCGAGCAGTCCCCGAGCCGCGAGCAGCCTCCCCGCAACCGACCGACTGACTAACTCCCCCCAAGCATGACATTATATGGTATGGAATAGCTCTTTGGTCAGTTTGGGTTAGCTGTGCTAGCTGTGCTGTACTCCCAGTTTGTTATGCACCTGTCCGAGCAGGAGAAGCTCAAAAAGTCAGCACTACTTGGCAACAGCTGAAAACATCAGTGTGTTATCAACATTCTTCTGGTACTAAATCCAAAACACAGCACTATGCTAGCTACTATGAAGAAAATTAACTCTATCCCAGCCGAAACCAGGACATTATGTTCTCCATCAATTCTTTATACTACTGTTTGTGCAGCTTCTGAGCCAAAAAAAGCCACCTTATAAGCAAAGCCATGAATTTACTGTTAGCCTAATTGTAACCTTAATCAAAGAATGCCTATCAGCCTAGCTGTTATTTAAAAAAAAAAAAATAAAGGAAGAAAAGAAAAAAATAGTGTTAGGGACAAAAGTCTCAATAAAAAGAGACTATTTACCTATACTTCCTTCTGTCTATCCCTTTCCCCGGTGTTACACTCCCACCGTCACAGCTCCTCTGAGTCTTATGATGACTGGATCATGGAGTCACAGAATGGCAAGAGCTGGAAGGGACCTCTGGAGATCATCTAGCCCAATGCCCCTGTTAAAGCAGGTTCACCTAGAGCAGGTTGCACAGGACATCGTCCAGGTGGGTTTTGAATATCTCCAAAGAGGGAGACCCCACAACCCCCCTGGGCAGCCTGTTCCAGTGCTCTCTCACCCTCAAAGTAAAGAATTTATTCCTCATGCTCAACTGAAACCTCTGAAGTTTCAGTTTGTGCACATTGCCTCTTCCTGTCTCTGGGCACCACTGAGAAGAGTCTGGCTCCATCCTCGTGACATCCACCCTTGAGATATTTGTATGTGTTGATGAGATCCCCTCTCAGTCTTTTCTTCAGGCTAAACAAGCCCAGCTCCCTCAGCCTTTCCTCACAGGGGAGATGCTCCAGTCCCCTAATCATCTTTGTAGTCCTCATCTGGACTCTCTCTAGGAGTTCACCTGTAGCTGAGGTGGGGGCTATGGTGCATTGTCAGTGTCCCAGTCTCTTTACTGGGAGGACAACACAGATGTATAAGTCAAGACTTGGTGGTCAAACTAAAGGGCAAGAAGGAACTGCACAGGCAGTGGAAGCAGGGACAGGTATCCTGGGAAGAGTATAGGGATGTTGCCTGGTTGTGTAGGGATGTGTTCAGGAAGTCCAAGGCGTGGCTGGAGCTGAACTTGGCAAGGGACTCAAAGAATAATAAGAAGGGCTTCTAAAGGTATGTCAGCCAAAAAAGGAAGGTCAAAGAAACTGTACGCCCCTGATGAACACAACTGGCAACTGGTAACAAAAGACTAGCAGAAGGCTGAGGTACTCAACAACTCTTTTGCATCAGTCTTCACTGGCAATCTCTCTTCACACACCTCTGAAGTGGATGGACATCAAGGAAGGTACTGGGGGGGCAAAGTCCCTTCCACTGTAAGAAAAGAGCAGGTTCGTGACCACCTAAGGAACCTAAACATATATAAGTCTATGGGACCTGACAGGATGCATGCCAGAGTTCATAGAATCATAGAATCACTTTGGTTGGAAAAGACCCTTGAGATCATCGAGTCCAACCTTTAACCTAACCCTGACATCCCACCACTAAACCATGTCCCTAAGCACCTCATCTATCCTTCTTTTAAATACCTCCAGGGATGAGGACTCGACCACCTCCCTGGGCAGCCCATTCCAGAGCTTGACAACCCTTTTGGAGAAGAAGTTTTTCCTAATGTCTAGCCTAAACCTGCCCTGGTGCAACTTCAAACCACTCCCCCTTGTCCTATCATCTGTTACCAGGGAGAAGAGCCCAACCCCCACCTCACTACAGCCTCCTTTCAGGTAGTTGTAGAGGGCGATCAGGTCTCCCCTCAGCCTCCTCTTCTCCAGACTAAACAACCCCAGTTCCCTCAGCC